TATTAGGTCATTTTAATTCTTGTATTTTCCCGTTAAGATTAGTTTTTATGTTTTAAAGACACCATCAAAACCCCTCCAAAAATCGCCTGGTTCTAGACTTCCATACTTCACATTTCTTTCGAAGGCTTTTGCAGGAAAGATCCTCCTGCCCTGTGGATTCGATCCCTAAGTACTACAATCGATCATCTGTGCACTTGTAGCTATTGATTTCATTTAGGGTAAAACTTGACACACCCTCACCCTCACGACATCACAAACTTCAAAGGACCAATAGTACATGGCAGTGTAAAGCTCCCTGGATCAGACAGATTCCTAGGGATGGTCTTCCTTTTAATAATTGCACTATACTCATGACTTAGAATCACCATTCCTTGTGGTTCCTTTGTCTTGTTCAAAATGGCATATTTTAAGAACTTCCCAAGCTGTGGAACTATAAGGAATGCTTCTATGATGGGCATGGTCATTTAAGTCTTCTCTAGGTGCTTCTCAAAAACAGCTATGGCCTTGTCTAAGATCTGCTTCTTAAACCTCCCTGGAAATGGGAGTTTAGGCTGGTATGGTGGTGGTGGAACATATGGTTTCTCAGGCACCACATCCTTTTCCACCTCTTTACTCTCATTACCCTTGGCAACTTGATCTTCTAGCTCACTCCTTTGAGCTGCTTCCCCACCAACTTGCTCAGTGTCCTCAATGAGCACTTGTCTAGGCTCTCTGGTAACTGTTTTCCACATCTAAGATTTATAGCATTGCAATACTCTTTTGGATTAGGCTCAGGTTTACCAGGTAAAGTGCCTTGTTGTCTTGAGGAAGAGGCTTGATTCTGCCTTAACTCCTTGATCTCTTGTTGCATTGCCGCATACTTAGGACCCAAATCAGAGAAACCACTTTCAACCCTTTGTTGACCCTGTAGAATCTGCTGTAACACTCCAAACAACTCAGACCCCATCTGCTGTTGCTGAACCGGTTGTGGCTGACTCAGCTGCTGTTGTCAAAACCCCGGTGGATTCTTGTGTTGCTGTGGTTGGCTGGTGAAGTTGGTACCCTGAATCGGTTGCTGTTGCTGTCCATACCCTTGTTGCTGTGGTACTAACTGCTGCTTCGGCTGAAAGTTCCCTTGAAATTGGTTTTTGGGAACAAAACTCTGTTGACCTTGTTAAGGAGGGTAGACTTGGTCTTGAGGATTAGCTACATTAGTGCTTTTATAGGATAGGTTCTGGTTGGTGTTGAAATTATTGTACTTTTGAAACCTGTTCTGATTCTCAAAGTAGTTAATATTCTTTTGTGTAAGACCTTCTTCATTGACATTTTCAAAACTTGGAGACTGATCATAAAATTCACCCACAAAGTGTAGTGGCTTTTGAGTTGCCACTAAAACTTTATCAAGTTTACTCTGTAGCTCTCTAATGTCTTTCTCCATCCTTTGTTATTTACTTGAGCCCTCAGTTCTGTTGGCTCTATCAAAATCCTCCCCATAAGTGTCATTACTCATGGCTAAGTTTTCTACCAGTTCCAGAGCAGCATTTATCTCCTTACCCAAAAATTTCCCATTCGAGGCTGTGTCCAACTGATTTCTGATCTTTGGAAGTGCTCCTCTATACAGGGTACTCAAGAGTGAAGCCTCAGAAAAACCATGATGGGGACATTGGTTTGTGTAAGTTCTACACCTCTCCCAAGCTTCCCCAAAGCTCTCATTGTTGTGCTGGGTAAAGCTTGATATCTGGTTCCTCAACTTGGCTGTCCTTGAGGTTGAGAAAAACTTAGATAAGAAGGCTAGTTTATACTGCTCCCAAGTCTGAATTGATCCTCTTGGTAAGTTCTTCTCCCACTGATGAGCTTTATCTCCCAAGCTGAATGGGAACAACTTATCTTGAAGCTGTCTTCTGAAACTCCATTGATCTTAGTCAGATCACACACCCTATTAAACTGATCCAAATGCTCTAGTGGATCCTCCATAGGTAGGCCATGGAACTTGGAGTTCTGAACCATGTTAAGCAAAGATGCCTTCACCTCAAAGTTATTGTTTTGGAATGAAGGAGCTTAAATGCCTGCCATGTATTGGTGTGCATTGGCTCGGTCATTCTCTCCCACAAACACTGGTGGAGGTTCTTGACGCCTAGGAGCTTGTGGCTGAGGCTGCGGATTGTTGTGAGCCTGCTGCTCATTCCTAGCCTCTTGTTGTTGATTCTGTTGAGCTTGGCGTTCATTCCTTTGTGCCATATTCTGGTTAACAAATGCCTGCTGTTCATTCCTCTCAGCCTGAGCCTGATTTACTTGAGCCTGATGCTCAGCTTGTTCCATATGTTGTTTCATTCCCAACCTTTCTAGATGAGAAGCTCTTTCTCTTGCTCTCCTTTCTAACAGGTTGATATTGTTGTTGTAAGGAAGAGGAGGGTCAGAACTCCGTGATCTTGTTCTCATACACCTGTGCTCAAAGACAAAACTTGAAAGTCTTATCAGCAAAATAAAAGAAAGCTTGATCTCAAGTTAAACTCAGTAACTAATGCTAAATTAATCACCCAAATGACAACAGCGCCAATTGATAAGTAAGAGTTTTGAAGGCTCTTAATGGGTTATCAATCCCTTAATCATGTAGTACAAATGGTGTCACACCATTTTGGGTGAGATTAGACACTAGTCAATGTAAGTTTCAACTTAACTCAAGCAAGAGAAACAGTTTTTAGTTTCAAATAAGAAACAAGTGTAAACAAAGTAAACTAAAACAGTACTAAACAAGATTAAAAATGCAACTAAGTGATATACTCATATTTTGTCATGTTTAGGATTGCATTTTTGTCGAAATATTGAGTCTTATGCATACATTTAGCTAGTTTTATTAGAGTTTGTCTTTGGTTCTAGCTTTGTTTAGGAATTGCATTAGGTCCTAGAGTGTCCTGCATTTTTGGAGTATTCTCAGGTCATTTATAGACTTTTTGGAGCAACTTGGAGCTGGGATCAAGGAGGAACCCTCACCTGTGTACAGCAACTCGGACAGATGGTTTGGTGCCGATGAGATCCCTACTATGATCGCTTGAGACGAAGGAACTGCGATTCAACCTCCGGTGTCTTCACCAAGAATCAAGAAGAAAGAGTCTAGTTTCAGGAACACTTGAAATAAGACGATTTGGAGCCGTGAGCTGGGAGATATCACCACCGGAAGGAACACATGTCTTACGGCCCGATCAGAAATTACGCGGTGCGCCTCAAAGAACCGACGAGACAGGGGGTCTAACGACGTCAAACGGGGTTGAGCCCTTCACCAAACGTGGAGCTAAGTACGTCATCTGGTTCGTGGAGTTAGAAGATCAAGGTTCGGACCAGTGAGCAAGGAGTTATGAAGGATTTGGTGCAAGCGGTCTACATTCTTATCGAGAAGGAATACCGACCAAAATCTGGTCGATATGACCTTGGAGTTTTGACGTTTTTGGCCGATTCTTGGAAGTCCAAATCCTGAAGAATTGCCAAGATGCTGCACCGACTGAATCCTGCTCGGTATTGATCCCTTGAACCTATCCTTAACGCCGCACCGAAGTGAGTTCAGCCGGTGTAGTGTCTCGGTGTAACCAGTCTCAAATTGTCGAAGAAATATCGACGTCCTGCACTGGGAAAAATCACCTTGATTCATTCTCGAACCAATACATTTTTGTGGGCCTTTTTGGGGCCAATACCTAGTTTGTCCTAGGTTTGCCCATCAATAAACCCTACCTATATATTCTTGGTTCTAGTTTGTCCTAGTTTAGGCATTATCCAGCAGACTAAGCTTTATTCTCTTTGTTTCCTTGCCTCTTTTGGAAAAGACCTAAACTTTGTAAGAGAGATCTTTATTTTCTAGGTTTGAATCAAGAGAGTACTTAGTGTTTAAATTTGAAATCCATCATTATCTATCATTTCCATCTTCATCTTCCATTCCTTTGTGAGTTTTAATCAAGAGAGATCAAGGATCTTTGTGTTTAGAACTGCAATCCATCATCATCTACTATCTCCATCTCCATTTCCCATCATTAATCATGCCAATCTACTCTATTTGCAAAGGTTTAAGAGAGATTAGTATGATTAGTGAGTAGTTTGTTTAATGAGGTTCTAGATATGTAGGTTAGGATGCTAAAGTGTTAGATTAGGAGTGATTAGGGCTAGATTTATTGATTCATCTCTCTAAACAGCTGATCCTAAAGCTAGATCCTTGGACATCACTTCTAGAATCTGGGTTTTTCATGCACCACAAGTGTTTGATGAAATTTCTGAAAGAGCTGTGTTAGAGGTTTATATATTAATGCCATGATGATGTTTGTTAATTGCATAAATGACATATTAGAGTTGATTCTTAATGCTTACTAGTTCATATTTCACAAATGGGAATTTGGTTTGAAAGTAAATTAGTATAGAGATTAATGCCTTCATGAGAGGATTAATCTATATTAGAGTTCTAAATCATTTGAATCATGTTTCATAATTGTCATTAGAATTTCTGGTTTAGCACCAAAGCACCCTAGCCAACTATCATGTCTAGAATCTCATGCTTCCATCATCTCATATTCACATCACTTGTCATTTGCTTAGTTCTTTTTTGATCATTTGATTAGTCAATAATCTTGTTTTAAGTTTTTAGTTGTCATTAGTCAATCAAAACCTCACTTGTTTACTTGAATTGAGAAACTGATCACATAGCTTAGTGTCTATCACCACATTCTTGGATTGACAACCTCTTTTGTGCTACTTTGACAAGGGGATTGATAGCCCTAATACCATAAAAAGTCTTGTCTATCAATTGGCGCCGTTGCCAAATTTTGGGTTGTTTAGCATTAGGCTCTGATCTGTTCTTGAGATCAAGTACTTATTTTTTTTTTTTACTGATTACTTTCAAGTTCTGTTTTTGCTTTCAGGTGTATGAACACGAGGTCCAGGTCAGAAGCTGTGGTCCACCTTTCCCTCTAAACGACAACATCAATCTTTTGGTTCCAAGAAGGAGAAGTGATAGGCGTGGAAGACAGACTGATCAGGCTGATATGGAAGATCATAGACAGCATGTGGTTGACATTGAGCCGCAGGTTCAAGAAGGGCAACAGGCTCAGGTGCAGCAGGGTAATGGAGTTGGTAATGCCGCTGGTAATGGAGTTGGTAATGCCACTGGTAATGGAGCTGGTAATGCAGCTGGAAATGGAGCTGGTAATGGAGCTGGGCATGGGTTCCATCAGGGTAATGTTCAGCAGGAACAGGTGCATCAACAGCAAGCTTATGTCCACCAGGGACAAGCTCCAGCTCATCAGCAAAGGCACCATGCCAATGTACAGCAAAAACAACAAGTTCACCACCATCAATCCTTCCAAAACTAACCAAGGAGATATGAGCAGCCACAGGTCTATGTAGGAGAGAATGACAGGGCCAATACTCATCAGTATGGAGCAGGAATTCAAGCACCACCGGTGCAGAACAACAATTTGAAGTCAAGGCATCTTTGCTGAATATGGTCCAAAACTCCAAGTTCCATGGATTGCCAATGGAAGATCCTTTGGAACACTTGGACCAGTTTGATAAAGTTTGTGACTTGACAAAGATAAATAGATTATCTGAGGACAGCTTCAAACTCAGATTATTCCCCTTCAGTCTTGGTGACAAAGCACACCAATGGGAGAAGAATCTTCCAAGAGGCTTCATTCAAACCTGGGAGCAATGCAAGCAGGCATTTCTGTCTAAGTTCTTCTCAACTTCCAGAACAGCAAAGCTGAGAAACCAAATCTCCAGCTTCACTCAACATAGCAATGAGAGTTTTGGTGAAGCATGGGAGAGATTCAGGAGCTACACTAACGAATGCCCACACCATGGGTTTAGTGAGGCTTCTTGATATATCATGGTTTTTATGGTTTTTGACCATGGTATAGGTCTTATTTATAGAGTCTCTTTAATGTCTTTCGAGTCTTTTGGAGTCTTTACAGGTCTTAGGTACGTTTGGAGCTTAACTAGAGATTTTGGAGCACTTTGGAGCTTAATCAGCATCAAATTCGTCAAGGATGGATTTTGTGCTTTAGTGTCGCTCGACACCATGGAGAGTGACGCTCGACACTTGTCAAATAAATAAGGAAAAGGCGATTTTGTTTCCTGTTTGAAGAAGGAGTTGGGCCCAGAAGTTCCCGAATAATTCCAAAAAGGCCCAGAACGTGTTTTTGAGATATATATATATATATATATATATATATATATAGGATTTTTATTCCTTTTTATCGACACCTTAGATTTTCTTAGAGAGGACTTTTGTTTTTGAGAGCTTTTGGGGAGACAAGTCTGAAACTCTGTTCCGGAGAGAGAAGATTTCGAACCCCTGTTTATTTATCTACTTACTGTTTTCTGCAATCTATTCATTCATGTTTATTGCTTCAAACTCCATGTCTGAGTAGTTAGCTTGTTAGGTTTAGGGTTCTCATAAAGGATTTCATTGGATGTTAGATTGATTGGTTAGTTAAGGTTCATAATCTATTTAGTTCTTCACCATAGGTTGTTCTTAAGGCTAATTCTGGACTGGCCACCTAGAACTTAGATCTTAGGTTAATTGATTGACACAGAAGTGTAATTGAATAACTGGAAAGAACCTAGGGTGAGCAAAGTAGTTATTCGCAAAGGAATTTGGTTTAGCTGGTTTGTGAACATATCGAACTTGTGCATTAAAGCTGGTTTAAATCTGTAAGATTTGCAAAGGAATTTGGAATTCTAGGATTTTAACTTAGATAATTCTCACAACGGAAGTTGGTTAGTTATAATTCTGTGATTCGAGTTCAAGAACTGTGCTTAAACCTGAACCCTGACTAATTGATTGATTTGCATACTTTGATTTCCTGAGAAATACCCTGAGCCTATCTCTTACTCATTGATTTTACAACCGTTTGATTTTATAGCTGCTGTTATTTTCATCGTTTTCACTTAGCGTAATTCAAGCCTAGATAGTTTATTGTGCGAATCTCTCGTCTCTGTGGTTCGACCCCTATTATACTACAACTGCACATATGTGCTCTTGCAGAGTAGCTTAGGGATTAAACTTTGAGCAGATCAAGTTTTGGCGCCGTCGTCGGGGACTTGATTTTCGCCATTAAACTTTAGTTCTTGAATTTTGACTAAGTTTTTCTTAGTGTCGAGCGACACCAGCATTGGTGTCGAGCCACACCCGTCGTTTTTCTTAATTTTATTTTTACTATGTTACTTACATTGCTCTTTCTCTTTGTCTCAGAAACTAGCAAAGATGGAGAACGCACTGGCATTGGTTCGTGATGATGCTGGAGTCTGGAGAGACCAAGATGGTCATGTGTGTAATGAGAGAGGCCAGCGACTTGATGGAGAGGGTAACATCATCAAGACGCTGGGTGACTACAATAGGCCTGAGCAATTCTATGAAAATCGGTCTGCGATTCGCGCTCCTGCGTTTTAGAGGAACGATTTTGAGCTCAAGTCTGTGTATTACACTCTTGTGGGTCAGCATCCTTTCCATGGTCTTTCTCATGAGCACCCGATGGATCATATTGAGAGGTTTGAGGACTTGGTCACCAGCATCAAGTACAATGGAGTGTCCAATGATTTCCTCTTCTGCAAGTTGTTCCCATACTCTCTTGCTGGAGAAGCAGCTAATTGGTTGAAGCAGTTGGAGCCTGGTTCGTTGAATACTTGGGAAGAGACCAGGAATGCCTTCCTGCACAACTTCTATGACAATGCCAGGTCTGAAGAGTGGAGACTCAAAATCTCAACGTTTTCTCAGGGACCAACTGAGGCGTTCAAAGCTGCTTGGGTGAGACTCAAGTCGTACCAGCGAGATTGCCCCCATCATGGTTTCAGCGATGTGCAGCTGTTGGGTATTTTCTTCAGGGGTGTTGATTGGAGGTATCAGATGGCTCTTGATGCTGCAAGCAATGGGAATTTCAACACCAGATACCCTAAAGACGCTGTTGTGCTTATTGAGAACTTGGCATCTAGCAATAGTACCAAGAATGCAGACGATCAGCGAAGGAAGCAGGCTGGAAACATGGATGAATCGCAGATTGCTGAGGTGAAGGCTAAGCTAGACTCTGTGCATAGTCTTCTTGTGGGTAAGAAATCTGTCAGATACCCTGCAGAAGTTCAGAATTTCGGACCAGGTGAAGCTTTTGAGGAAGAGGATGTTAACTTCATCAATGGAGCTGGATTTCAGGGTCAGAGATTTGGTTCTGGGCAAGGGAACACGAACTACCCTGGAAATAATCAGAGGAGTACCTTCACAGGTAATCAGAACTCTTCTGGTTACAGCTCCAAACCTCAGTACCAGACATCCTACTGCAACAACAGTTTTTCAAGGAACTATGGTTCTCCTCCTACTCAAACTCCAAATAATGAGGTGAAGTCCATGCTGGAACAGATCTTGGAAGGACAGCAGAAGATGACTGTGGATTTCAATGGGAAGATTGATGCTCTGTATCTGGATCAGAATGGAAAAATTGAAGTTCTGAACACTCATGTCAAGAAGCTTGATACTCAGGTTGCTCAAACTGCAGAGTCTGTAAAAAGGCAAGACGGATTCTTTCCTGGGAAGACTGATACCAATCCTAGGTATTATTGCAGTGCCATCTCGTTAAGGAGTGGTAAAAAGTTGACTCCTGTGCTTAAAAAGGGTGTTTCTGAGGATGCAATCGTGGAGTTTGACGAATCTGAAGAAAATTTCAAAACTGCAGAGCCAGTGTCGAGCGACACCACCACTAGTGTGAAGCTGAAGTTGTTCAGAATCTGAAACCAACGGAAGAAAGAGTCTACAAACCTAAGGTTCCTTACCCAAGGAGTCTTAGGAAGTCCAAGCAGGAGTTAGATGATGCTAGATGCAAGGCTTTGATGGAGAAGCTTGTGATTGAGATTCCTTTGGTTGATGCTGTGAAGATTGCTCCTACTCTCAGACACTGTGAAGAGGATGGTGACTAATAATCTGAGTCATGAGGAAGGAGTGATGATGATTTCTGAACAGGTCAGTGCTGTGATTCAGAATAAGATTCCAGAGAAGCTCTCAGACCCAGGAAGCTTTATTTTGGACTGCTCTATCTTCTCAGAGAGGTTCAAGAGATCGCTGTGTGATCTTGGTTCGAGTGTCAACCTCATGCCATACTCTGTAGCTGTTAACCTTGGGATGACTGACTTCAAGCCAACTAAGATCTCTTTGATCCTAGCAGATCGATCTAAAAGAATTCCAAAAGGTATTTTGGAGGATGTTCCGATTAAAGTTGGTGATTGCATAATTCCTACAGATTTCGTGGTTCTGGAATATGGAGAGGAACCCAAAGATCCTCTTATCCTGGGAAGATCATTTTTAGCTACAGCTGGAGCGGTAATTGATGTCAAGCATGGTAACCTTGATCTCCACTTGGGAGATATCATCATGATTTTCAAGATGGAGAAGCTGAAGGATTCAACCAAAGATGGTCAGACATTCCAAGTCAGTGCAACACCTGAAGTGATAGTTGGAGATCAGAACGTGTTTGCTGCTGAGAAGGTGAGAGATCAACCTGAGTTGACAAAAACGTCTACAGGACCAGTGACTGCTATTGATCAGGAAGCTCAAAACATCTCACTCTCTTCATCTCCACCAAAGCAAAGGTCAAGGCCACACAAACATAGATCCCACCCTGGTGCTATTCCTGCATTCCTTGGACGACCTCATGCGCACAACGCTTACACACCACCATGGATGAGACGAATTTCACAGAGGCACTCTTTGCCACTGTCTGATCCACCAGATGCATAGTCTATCCATAGTCAAGCTAATGACTTAAAACAATCGCTTGGTAGGAGGCAACCCACTGGTAAGTCTTTACATAAGTCTTTTTGTTTCTTTATGATTTTTGTTTTTTGTTTTTGTGTTTTAGGTGTAGCAGATACGAAGTGGTTGGTGTCGAGCGACACCACCATCAGTGTCGGTCGACACCAGTAAAAAAAAAAAATTAGGAAATCGGGAAACCGGAGTCAAACCAGAAATTCGGATTGCTCTGTTGCAATTCGGTACGAAGAGAACAAGTGTCGCACGACACCATCATCAGTATCGGTCGACACCATCATTGCAGCCAGGTAAGTTCTCTGTTTTTACTGCGTTTCTCTGTTTCCTTTCTTTTGTTTCGCCACCTTCAGACTAGATATCACTCTTGACAGTGTTGTTTAAGTCTGGGGGAGGTAATCGCTGACATTGTGTTTGTTTTTCTTAAGAGTCAGTCGTGTCAAAACGTTTTTGAGTCAATACTTGTTGGAGATTATGATGCTTTTCCTGGAATTATTGTGTTGACCTTTTATTTAAGTGACCATTGCTGCAGATTCAGTCTAGTTCTGACTAATGAAAAATCCAAAGGCTGACCAGTTGACTAGAGGCGTCCATGTTTTTAACAGAATCCACTAACCTGAGCTAATTTCTGAACTCTTTCTTTTACCTCATTGATGTGACTGATGTTCATAGAGCTTGATTCCTCGTTCAAACTTGACAAATGAAAGCTGTGTGAAATTTAATGTTGGTGTTTCTCTCCCTGTGACGAGCTAAAAAGGTGAAGAAAGAAAGAAAAAGGCGAAAAGATTGAGATGATTTTAGCTTAGGAGTGAAGGGCTAGGAAAATTTCCAAGGATCCCATTTTCACTTCTAAGTTGGAATGATCACACAAAGGAAGGAAGCGAGGGGTAGGAAAGTTTCCTATGACCCCACTATTTGCTGAAAACCTTTGATACAAGATAAGGGGACAAATCGGGGACTCGATGGCAAACACCATCAGTACTCGCAGCTTTAACCTTATCGTGTATATGCCATAAAGAAAAAGATGATGAGTGTGCGAAAAGAATAAGTCTGGGGGAGAGAAAAAGTACCAAAGTGTGTATGGCTTATTTGTTTGAGTATAGTACGGGAAAGAATCTAGAAGGTTCTTTGATCTGCTCAAAGTTTAATCCCTAAGCTACTCTGCAAGAGCACAGATGTGCAGTTGTAGTATGTAGGGGTCGAACCACAGAGACAAGAGATCACTCAATAAACCTTATAGAGATTGAATTACGCTAAGCAGAAATATTGTAAATAAATAGCAATGCAACAGAATTAGACTAAGCAGCAATAAAAACGGTTTGTAAGATTCAGATGGATGGAGATTAGGCTTAGGGCGTTTCTCAGGAAATCAATGCATGCAGATCAATCGATTAGTCAGGGTTCAGGTTTAAGCACAGTTCTTGAACTCGAATCACAGAATTATAATTAACCAACTTCCGTTGTGAGAATTATCTAAGTCAAAATCCTAGAATTCCAAATTCCTTTGCAAACCCTAAAGATTTAAACCAGCTTTAATGCTCAAGTTCGATATGTTCACAAAGTATCTAAACCAAATTCCTTTGCGAATAGCTACTTTGCTCACCCTAGGTTCTTTCCAGTTATTCAATTACACTTCCGTGTCAATCAATTAACCTAAGATCTAAGTTCTAGGTGGCCAGTCCAGAATTAGCTTTAAGAACCACCTATGGTGAAGAACTAAATAGATTATGAACCTTAACTAACCAATAAATCTAACATCCAATGAAATCCTTTATGAGAACCCTAAACCTAACAAGCAAACTACTCAGACATGGAGATTGAAGCAATAAGCATGATTGAATAGCTTGCAGTAAGCAGTAAATAGATTAATAAACAGGGGTTCGAAATCTTCTCTCTCCGGAACAGAGTTTCAGACTTGTCTCCCCAAAAACTCTCAAAAACAAAAACTCTCTCTAAGAAAATCTAAGGTGTTCGTAAAAAGGGAATAAAAACCCTATATATATCTCTAAGACACGTTTTGGGCTTCCTTGAAAACGTTTGGGCCCAACTCCTTCTTCAAATAGGAAACAAAATCACGTTTTCCTTATTTCTGCAACAAGTGTCGCGCGTCACTCTCCATGGTGTCGAGCGTCACTAAAGCACAAAATCCATACTTGACGAATTTGATCCTGATTAAGCTCCAAAGTACTCCAAAGTCTCCAGTTAAGCTCCAAACGTACCTATGACCTGAAAAGACTCCAAAAGACTCGAAAAACACTAGAAAGACTCTATAAATAAGACATATACCATGGTTTAAAAACCATAAAAACCATGATATATCATTCTTGGCATCTGAATCATCAGTGAGATCCAGCGATGAGGGTTTATGGACAATTTTGTGGAATTTTGGACTTAATCTGGGAAACTGTGAATGTTTGCGGAGAAGTACATGGTGGTTCGATTTGGAATGATGAAGCAGTAGTTGAGTTGCAGGGTGATCGGTCAAAGCGATGTTCCAATGAAAGGTTGAGTCTCCGTGTTTTCAAACTTCTTTCTCTTATTTGGTGTTCTGTTTGCTTGAGGGCAAGCACTTCTCTTCTAAGGACACTTTATAGAGGGGCTCTTCCAAAGATCAGGAATCAACTGGATACTGCATCAAATGGAAACTTTCTGGGGAAGGATATTCATGCTGCTTTAGAGCTGGTAGAGAACCTAGCAATGAGCAATGACACCTATGGAGAAGATTTTGATAGAGCCAATAGGAGTGAGAATTCAAGCAGGGATCAAAGGTATGAGAAGGACTTTAAAACACTTGAAAGCAAGCTGGAGAAGGTGTTATTGGCCACTCAAAAGCCAATGCACTTTGTAGGAGAGTTTGAGGAACCTTCTCAATGATTGGAGAACATCAGTAAAGAGGGTCTTACTCAGGAAGAGCTAAACTATATTGGGAATCAGAGGTTTCAAAGATATCAGTATGCCAATGCCAATCAGAACCTCTCTTACAGGAATTCCAATGTAGCTAACCCACAAGACCATGTCTACCCTACCTCTCAAGCTCCACAGAATTTTGTTCCCAAGAACAACTTTCAAGGGTCCTTTAAACCTAAGAATCAGTTTGTTCAGAATCAGGGTTACAGTCAGCATCAGCAGCAACCACTTCAAGGCTCTAGTTTCAGTTTACAGCAACAGCCAAAAGCACCACCAGGGTTCAGTCAACCACAGTTTCAGAAGCAAGCGCTGGTTCAGCATCAGTTTCAGTCAGCACCGGTTCACCAGCAGCAGCAGATTGGGCCAGATATGGTTGGGATTCTACAACAGCTGCTTCAGGGTCAACAAATGTTTGCAAGTCAGTATGTATCTATGCAGCAAGACATCAAGGAGCTGAAACAGAATCAGGCATCCACTTCAAGAAGCCTAGGTGGCTTACCTGGTAAGCCTGAACCAAACCCAAAGGAGTATGCTAAAGCCATTACATTGAGAAGTGGCAAAGAGCTACAAGGTATAGAGCACAACAATGTGATCATTGAGAACAATGATCAAATTGGTGAGGAGGCAGCCCCAAGGGATGATCAAGAAGCTGAAAGATCAAAGAAAGGGAAGGACAAAGAGGTGGAAAAGCCATCAGAACCAGAAAAGCCTTATGTTCCACCACCTCCCTATCAACCTAAGCTCCCATATCCAGGAAGATTCAAGAATCAGATTGCAGATAAAGCAAGGGCACTCTTTAAGAAGACTCTTAATGAGTCACCACTTATAATGCCTCTCATTGAAGCATTTCTGATGATGCCTAAGCTTGGAATGTTTCTAAAAGATGCTATCTTGAACAAAACAAAGAGCTACAGGGTATGGTGGTGCTTAGCCAAGAGTGTAGTGCCATAATTCAGAGAAGTTCAGTCCCAAGAAATCTGTCTGACCCAGGGAGCTTCACTCTCCCTTGTGCTATAGGACCATTGATGTTTGCAGGCTGTCTTTGTGACTTGGGAGCATCTGTC